ATTTTTAATTAATTTGATCAAATAATTTCAAATATTTGATTCTCAAATTTGATTTGATTTTGCGGAGTACTAAATAAATCATAAGAAAATAAACTTTAAAGAACTATATTGAAAATTTTTATTAATGCAACTACTTTTGTGTCTTAAGTGAACAATGATTTAGTAAAAAAAGTCTTAAAAATTGTCAATTTGGGCCCTTCTTTTTTATAATACCTTACCTATTTGTAGATTTTTCGGGGTCCTGTGCTGCACTATGATAGCAACTTGCAGTATTTGATATGTAAAACCTCAAATGCATTATATCAAATTCGTTAATATAAGTTGACCAGCGAAAATGTCCGTTATACGTAATATGGCATTCTTATTGTTGATTTCGTTATAACCGTTGAAAATTCGTAGTTCAAATTTGGATCGTCAAACCATGAATCCGGTATAATGGTGTCCGCTATATCAATTGACTGGATACAAATTTTTTTCTACAAATACATAGAATCAATATAGCGACAGTAAAGTATTCACATGAGATCCAGAATTTAGCGTTTAGATGTTGCAAATAAACGTAGAATTTTTAATTTCCGGTAAAGGAAATTAATGTTATTAATTATTAATTAAATTACTTGTTACTTTATACCGGGCACTATTTATTTGGATTTTGAAGAAATAAATAGTTCCGATGATAGTGAAACGTGGGAATATCACCGTCATTATACAATGCGTATCCAGTTGTAACGCAAACTGGTCATACGTTTAACACTTTATCAAAGTAATACAAGTAAATTATCATTTATTCAACGAATTCTAAAAAAAAAATTTAAGTGAAAGTAAAATGATGAATTCATGCTTAGTTCACGAAAACGAACAAAGACATGAGGAGCTAAATATAGTTTGGAGATAACTGAAGATGGCCCAATGATATTCGCATCTATATACTTAAACGCAAGCAACAATTGCATTGTTACCGAATCCTGAATCTGATACGTATTGCATGCAGATCGGAGGTTTGTAACCATGAATCGAATTAGGAAATTTTTTTTAATATCAACATATGTTTGGTTATATTGGCCATAAAAAATATCGGCCTATTGGACTGGTCAAACATTGATCAATATATTAATTCGCCGTGAGGTGTGAGTCTGGTCACTCTTTCGCTTTTCTTAGTTTTCTAGTCTGACAAAGGTTTCTTCCGCTCGACCATCTATCATGCAACAGCGAGATGGCTTAGCTATTATATTTTACCCAACAGCTCCTTCGAGGAAATTACTTCAATTTCATACTTGGATAACAGAGTATGAGTTAAAATATCATCACTCACTCACAGAAAACATTTCTACAACATCTATTGCATCAATTTCACCTCCTCAGAAAACTCAGGAGGAAAGAATACTGGGTAAAGATGGTTTTAGTAAGATTCCTCATGAGCTTATGATGATTATTATGGATAATTTGGAAGCTACCGACATTCTTTCTTTATCTATGGTGCGTTTGAATTAGCGTCATTATTGTTCATTTGTTTTTGATTCAATTCTAATTGTTTGCCGAATACTAGGTGAATAAAAAGCTTAGGGCTCATACTCAAGATAATTATCTATGGCGTCAAATTCTCTTTCGAAATTATGGAGAGTCCGCTATAAAGGATGAGCCAAAGCACACATGTCGCAAATTAATGTGGAAAAGGACAAAACGTAGTAAGCAACCACAAGTAGAGCCCAATTGGCAGAAGGTCTTCATGAGATTGTGTAAGTTTATATATATTTATATATATATATTTTTTTTTCTTTTTTTTTTTTTTATTATGTGCTATATTTAATTGATCCAACACTTACAAATATTACTGAATAGCAACTGTTAAGGTTTCAACGAAAACTGCAATTTCGCGAGGCAAACCTGGCGCTTATTATCGATATAGATATTTCGATCACAAAGCGAACGATTTTAGGTATGTACCTCGCAATTGTGATCGTATATCTACATATTTTTTTTATTAGTCATATACATAATTATTTTTAATTATTATTTGTTCCTAATTTTAGTCGTTACGGTAATAGAATAAGACAGAGACAGCGTTCGTATGAGGTTCGTTTATTTTGTAACGTCTATCACTTTTCATTTGTAGTAAATAATTTAATTGGTTATTTTGCTTTTTCAGATTGAAATGACTATAAGTAATGTTCCACCTGGTGTCTACGACATAATATGGCGAATGAGGATTGATAAGTTCTCGTGTAGACCAACCTTGACTTTTTCTACAGATATTTGGTTGCGTGTATGTATTCTTTGAGCACTATTAGTCACACTGCAAGTAATCAACGGTCCCATGATCACGGTCACAATGTTGTTCTGGATGTTAATTTAAGCGTTTACTTAAAAAAAACGTTAAAACATTTATTAAGATTTTACTATAAGAGTTCAAGTGCCGGGCATATTACTATTAAAATATAGTGCGCCTGGCACTATGTGTTTTAATAGTTCCCTTGCCTGCACTTGCAGATCCATAATTAGAATGTACCCTGAAAAATTTTATCTAATGGTCAAGGAACGGTAAAATTTTGGGTATAATTTACAGTAATTTACAGAATTTGAAAATCATATAACATTCAAGTTTTCGCCGTCCCGTTAATGATTGAAAGACAGACAAATTTATGAATTATTAATTCTTTAATTGTACGTTACGAGATCCTACAATATGATCGGGCAGTAATCACGGGACTACGAACTTTTGGCCATGACTATGTTATTCATCTTTATCTTTGGATTTTTCAAATTCATTTATATTCATTTATTTATTTATTTCTCCATTCATTTAGCATGACATATATCTAAATTCTTATGAAAGAGAATCAAAGTTCAAATTTTCCCCTGATCCGGACAGACTCCAGGAAGTACTTGACAAGGGATGGTTTCATTTTCGGTTA